GAAGGGTGTAAAAATATAAAACATCAATGGAGATTTAAATAAGTAAATTCGTTCATCATAAATAAAACTATTATGCATACATACTGTTGCGAGATTTCCAAACCCAACTATAGAAGTAATAACACAAACAACATCATAATCTCATATTCAAGTGGGTAAGACAACAACTTTCTATTTTTATTTGCTTATAAGAATCTCTGGGGGTCCATAGGGATGTCCCACTACGCGTTAACTCATATCAAACTTTGTCAACTAACTAGTCTCCCCATACCCTGTCCAATATGAGTGCCAAAAGTATCATTCCTCAATACTTTATCCCGTATGAAGGTGAATCAGGCCGTCCCCATATCCTATCTGGTATGAGCGTCAAAGATACCATTACTCGATATCCCGTTCGGTATGAAACAATGTTCACGGTAGGGTTCTCTATGTACCCAACCCATCCACCATCTTACAGGATATCCAGTGAGACAACCATTCACTCATTCATTTAACCAATCAATTTTTCGTTTACATTTTAATTTTCAGTTTCATAAATTAACTGTAAATCATGCAAAACAAGCAATACATGCATCAAGAAAATACAACTAAATCATTTTACCAATCCCAATGTATTATCATGTATTTAAAATCGTAAAATCAAATAATCAGTTAAAACATGACAAATAGTAAAAAATAATCGATTCCAGTTCCATTAGCAACCTGTAATTAATTCTCGAAATTTTTTGAATTACACAAAATAACGTATTATTTATAATTAGACTTCAATTTCATAACAGAGAATAAGGTGATGGATTCTTAGGCGTCTGAAATACTGAACTTTCTACTATGCATACTAGCGATCTCCGGATTTTCTGAATTTTTCTTCAGAGATTAAAATACGCTTTGCGTACCTAAAAATACCAAAAACCCTCAAATCGGTGTTAAAAACTATTTTCTAGCCAATTTTGGGGTTCCGACACGGCAGCACCACCGTGCTCCAGCAACGACACCACTGCCCACGGTGGCGATTTACCTAGGCCTGACCGTTTTAATCCCCTTTTGGCCGGTTTCGGCAAGTTTTATACCAATTCATGCGAGAAAACATGTTAGGAGGCCTCAATTAAATACGTTAGGGTGCCTCGATTGGCCGAAAAAGTCAAAAAATAGAAACCTACCGGCGGTAAAATTTTTCGGTATGGCAGCTCCGCCGGCTCACATTCGCAGCTGGACATTTTCCTTCGCTCAACCTGTAGAAAATAGAACAGTGATCACAATGGTGGAAAAATCACACGAAACAAAAATCGGGAATGGACTCATCGGATGAGGTTTCGAGTGTTGTCCATAGCGGCGCCGCCGGGCTTTGCCCAAGTTTTTCAGTTCATCCGCCGTTTCTTTTACTCTGATTTGACCATGGGGGTGCTTGGAATCAAATTTCGAGCGAATAAAAGAATTTTTACTTTTTTTGGCAGTCAGAGGTGGCTCTGGCACGGCGGCGAGCGACAGTCGACTCCCTTCTCTAGCGACTAATTCTTATTCTCTGATGGGAGGCTGGCGGCTAGGGCTTGGATTCGGTGTGATATGAGATATTTACACTATTCTCGCGTCAATTTGGACCGTCCGATTGCGTTTGATCTTGACCGTCCAATCGCGTCTAAAGAGTAAAATAAATATGGATTGTTCATCATGATTTGATCTCGACCGTACGATCGCGTTTAAAGAGGGAATGAATCTGAGTCGTTCATCATATTTAATTGCGACTGTCCAATCGTGCCTGATGAAAGAACGGATCCGTATCGTCCACGTGCGCGGGAACACTTCCGGACCGTCTGATCGTGGGGCACGCGGATCGCCAGCGTGGCCTCCCGTGTGGCACCTAGTCAGCGTGTCTTGCCACGCGGCATGCTTCAGTTCGTCAGGACTTTTGATTGGGCGGTCCTACGTTGTGCAACTTTTTTTAATTGTGTTCTGACTCCCAGTTTCTGAATTTTCTTTTAAAAACATCATCCGAACCCAAATTTTCACTCATTTTTTCAAAATTATTTTCAATCTCATCGCTAACCTATTTTTTTCATAATTTCACATTAAATTAAAATTTATTAATTTCAAAAAATAGATTTTTTTATACATTTTCGAATGTAAAATTAATTCTGGGCTAAATTTCGGGACCGGATATTACAAATGGTTTATAATTTTCTTTTGATCACGAGCCTTCTTCTCCTTCTTCTTATTCTTCTTCCTCTACTCTCACAAATTTAGCAGAGTTTCTTCAAGATTTTTATCTAAAATCTCAAAATACTCTCGAAAATTACATACTTCGTATTTTCTTTTCTTCCTTCACCTCTATATTTCTCACTATTTTTCTCTCATATGGAATGTCTCTTCCTCCTTCTTCTATCCCCTATTTATAAGACTGGGGAGTCACGAGAGAAATGTTATCACTATTCTATCATGTCACTTCATTTAAAAGTTGACACATTTCATCATATCACTTAATCTAAAAGATTACTACTTTTCGCATGTCACTTCATGTTTATTCTAGCTCCTTCATCTTTATCCGTTATTTTTTTCTTTAACTCTAAACTATGTCATTAACTTTATTATATATTTTCAAATAGATATAAAAGCTAAATTAGATATATCAAACATAAGGAATTAGTTCGATGTTATCACATTTTTAATTGATTATTTCGTTTGAATTATAATTTTACATATCTAATTTGTAAGTATATGACAATTTTTTTCTCAATCAAGTTCGTACTCAGAGAATTGAAGCCTTAAAGTTAGTTGCACGTTATTGAAATCTAAAAGTTCAAATGTCAGTATTAATGAATGATTTTAGTGTACTAAAATAGATAAATTTGTGTGATATTATGATTTTCAAGAGACTATATAGTTTTATTCTTATATTATATATTTAGAGCTTATTTAGTTATATGGATAGACTTTTAAATTTTGGCGATAATAGATTGTAATAATTTATTAAGTCATTTAATTATTTCTAAATTATTACAACAAAAGGATATTGAGTAATAAATTAGACCAACCAATTACACATAACTAAGGTAACTAATGAAATTTGTTGTTGTTAATAATATCTAAAATTTTTCAAATTTAAGTTATGGTAAAGATTTTATTCATTACCTACCAATATCAGTTCATTATCAGTGATATTTAATAAAATCACAAAAATTAAACTTATTAAAGATGAACATCAATATAATAGGGATTCTCTAGCTATTAAGAACAAAAAACGAATCTTTTTATTGTTTTTTCTTTTAAAAAATTATTTCTTTCATATTTTTTTCAACTTATTTAATAATTTAAAATAATATTTAAGAAGAAAATAAAATAGAATGAGTAATATATTCTTTTAAAAAATACTATGTTAAACTTAACTGGAAACTGTTAAATTACGTAACGATTTCACACTTTTCTTTCAATTAAGGGTTTTGTAATAATATACTGTTATTTTCTGATTCACAATATAAAACCTCACCCGACTCTATTCACAATTTCTGATTTCCTCTTAAGATTAGATTTTCTCCCTCTCCGCCTTCTGCGTCTCCATATATCTTCGTCTGCTCAAAATCTCGATACAATTGCTTAGGAATTTTGCAATACTCAGTAGCAAAGATGGTTTTAGCTCAGTTAGGAGGGAGTATTTCCCGGGCCATACAGCAGATGAGCAATGCCACGATCATCGACGAGAAGGTATTGAATGAGTGCCTCAACGAGATCACGCGTGCTCTCCTGCAAGCCGACGTGCAATTCAAGCTCGTGAGGGATATGCAGACCAATATCAAGAAGATCGTCAACCTCGATGACCTTGCCGCCGGACACAACAAGCGCAAGATCATTCAGCAGGTCACTCGCTTTATCATCTTCTTCCTTTGTGCTTTTGGCTTTTCCTCTTTCAATGTGGCGATTAAGATGCGAGTTCTAATGGGTTATTTGATTATGTAGATTGTTTAATTAAATAATTTCATGCTGTTTCTGGATTTCCTGGAATTAGTTTCAGCACTTGTGAACCCAATGATGAAGTGGGATAACATGTTCATTATTTTTTTTATTGCATATTGGGATAAATTGGGAGTTCATATGTTAATTAGTTTTGTGGGTAGCGAGAAAAAAAAGTTCTTTTCCTGGGATAATTTTGTTGAGTTTTAGTGATATAGTGTCCTCCAAAAGCTCATCAAATCTGAAATGTCCCTTTCCTTTTGGAAATTTTGTCTAGTTATCCTTGAGAAAGGATGAAATTTTGGAAGAGAATAGTATCCCTTGTTCAGAACTTATCCTAAAATTGGCTACTGCAGAATCGAGTTTATTGAGTATCAGCATGGTCTTTATGAAGGATTGTATGAAATGGAGTTGTTTAATAAGTTTAACAGTAAAGTTGGTGTCAGTCATGTAAAACTCCATTTACTAATTATCAGCATGGTCTTTGTGTAGGGGTAGTCTATGAAATGGAGTTGTTTGAATAGGTTTAACAGTAAAGACAGTCGGTCATGTAATACCAATTCAACCTTAAGTTTTCTTCTTGTGATTGCATTTTCTCTCTTTTTTAGGGAATATTATTTTCTTTATTTTTTATGCTCCTGCTCCTAGTGCAGCTTTCTAATAGGTTTCTTTGTTATAGGCCATCTTTAATGAGCTGTGCAAAATGTTGGATCCTGGAAAGCCTTCCTTCACTCCAAAAAAGGGGAAAACAAGTGTGGTCATGTTTGTTGGTTTACAAGGCAAGTTAACTGTTCAGTGCAGTGTTTAACTGGGCGGTCATAAACTTACATGTCCTCCCACACACCAAAAACTGAGTACACCATTCCTTGATTCTTCATTACATGATTGATTATTTCAATTTGGTGTATTGATTCCTTGGCCTGATTGTGACCCATCCCAGGATCTGGAAAAACCACAACATGTACAAAGTATGCATATTATCATCAGAAAAAGGGCTGGAAACCGGCTCTGGTGTGTGCAGATACTTTCAGGGCTGGTGCTTTTGATCAGCTGAAGCAGAATGCTACAAAAGCTAAGATTCCATTTTATGGAAGGTACGATGCAGAATCTGACAGAGACATTTCTGTTATTTGTTTCTCTGCATTTGTCTTTTCATCTTATATAGGAAAAATATTATATGTTTGGACCTGTGTTTGGACAATGATAAATTATTTTGTAAACTCTTGATGGGTTAAGATGCATGTGTATTTTAAATATTATTGCCAGTTAACATCTTTCAAATATTGTCTGCTTTTCTTCTTTCTTCAGGGGCGACAGTCCTCCAAAGTTGTCTTTCTCTTTTTCTATCAAATAGTACTTCTTTTCTATCCAAAAGAAAATCATAAGTTCTGTCATGTGCATATGTTCGTCTTTTTGTTGTATACATTCACGCATGTTGCATGTGTGGACAACCTTGGATGAGTTGCATCAAACTGTTAGTGCTTGATGGTTTTTTTCCCTATGTCTTCCTCCTTGATGCATGGCCTTTTGACTTGCGAAGTGCAATAACTGAGATAGTGTTATGTTTTCGAGACCAGGATCTTGTTACCGAGCGGTTCACCAGATAATCTGATTTCGGGTTCTGCTTCTTTCCCTTGTTATGATTCCTTGAGCGACTTACTGTGAATTATTTCCAAGTTCATCAAAGGGTGCTTGGCACTTTGAACCTCTTTAGAGAGAGTTCCAATCTTAATATTTGTGATTGTAATTCAACTTGCTTTCTATTAATTATAGAGTCCTTTAAATAGGACTAGTCTCATTACAATATAGGAAACTTTTAGTTTATGCTTCCCGTAGTAGAAATTTAGGAAATTCCTAATTAAGAAATAAATTTTCAGATAAAATAAAAATTCCTAACTAAGAGATAAGTTTTCCTATTGAGAGATAAGTTTTCCTAATAAGAGATAATTTTTCCTATTAAGAAAGAAGTTTTCCTATAATAGAATAACTTAGCCTTTATCATTCCAACTAGTTATGGCCATGTCTGCGATAAGGTTGACCCATGAAGGAGTCTGTAACAGATAGATTGGTAGCCAAAAAAGATATTCTTCAGCACTTGTTCACAAATTTACAGAACTTGAGTTTCAACCATGCCGCTAATTATGTCAAGCTTTTGGAATATAGAAAAATTTATTGGTAACTAGGGTCTAAACAACTTTTTTTGTTGTTTCTGCTTTCTTGTTTCCTTTTTCCTTTTCCATTAAATGTCATATACAAACTGATTACATGTGTTGTGATCCTAAGGCACCTTCTCAAACTATTTGAGTCCACATCTTAATCTTTCTAGCTTCTTGATTGTAAGCTTTGTGTATGAGGAGAATCTAAATCCGGTAGAGGGATATATTCATATGTTTTACATAACAATTGTTTCTCCCACCTGGGGTGGGTTCCTTTCTACAGCTACATGGAATCAGATCCTGTCAAAATAGCAGTTGAAGGAGTAGAAAGATTCAAAAAAGAAAATTGTGATCTTATTATTGTGGATACTAGTGGGCGTCATAAGCAGGAAGCCGCTCTTTTTGAAGAAATGCGTCAAGTTTCAGAAGCAACGGTATTTTCTGGCTTTCTAGTGATATATCTAATTTTGTCTCCAAGCGATTGTAATTGCTGATGTCTTTTTCACTTCTTTCACAGAGACCAGATCTTGTTATTTTTGTCATGGATAGCAGTATTGGGCAAGCTGCTTTTGATCAAGCTCAAGCATTCAAACAAAGTGTCTCAGTTGGAGCTGTTATTGTTACAAAGATGGATGGTCATGCAAAGGGTGGAGGTGCTCTTAGTGCGTAAGTATGGTTTTGTTTTGTTTTGTTTTATTTTGTTTATTTCTTTAATTTTTTTAAATTCTATATTTGGGTTTAGTTGCAAAGGAAAGAAGATGTCAATATCCAACACAAAAATGTGGATATATTTGTTAAGGCTATCATTTGCTTTTTAAGATATTATTTTTCTATACGTTTAAGCCATTATATTGTATTTTCCTCTACCTTTATTTGTTGTACTTAACAAGCTTGGGGAAAGTGAGTCCTTCGCCATTCGTGGCTTGACAAAACCATGTTGAAATAGTCCCGATAAGCTCGATGCTGTAATACTTATAGACATAAGAAATTGAGCACGCATTGTCCTGTCATCCCACTCACTAGCATTCCCCAGAAGCCCCCTTAGTTGGAAGGTTACACCATCTAATGTCCTTAACATCATGAATACCGCACTTCAGGGCAAATGGTTATGGAGAGCTTCTAGAGAGGACCAAAAACTATGGTAAAAGGTGGTTATGGCTAGTTGGGGAGGGAGAGACGGTATTGGCTCTGATAGAGCTATTTCAAAACCTCATGGCAGGAGTTTGTGGAAAAAAATCATGATGGGTAGTCAGAATTTCTTGGAGTGCACTCGTTGGAAAATTCCTAAAGGTGATAAAATCTGTTTCTTGGAGGACATGTGGATCGATGAATATAAACCTAAAGACACATTCCCTAGCATTTATGCCATTGCACAAGACAAAAGCTCTCTGGTGCAAGAGATGTATTCAGTGAGGGGTGACCAATGGGATTGGATGGTGCGGCTTTGCAGAAACTTGAATGATTGGGAAGTTGTTGAGTATCAAGAACTACTGATATTACTTTCCAATTTTAAGCTAGATAATCACAGTGATTAGAGGGTGTGGAATCTTGGGAAACATAGCAATTTTTCTATAAAATCATACTATAACAAGCTCGCAGTTGGGACAGATGGTGAGTTTTTAGTTTTCCCTGTAAAGCTGATAGGGGAGACTAAAGCTTTCCCCCAGAATGGCCATTTTTGCTTGGGAAGCTTGTTGGAGAGCATATTGATGATTGACATGCTTAAACATAGGGGGAAGATCTTGGTTAATCATTGCTATTTGTGTAAGATGGGGGCTGAAACATGCAATCACATTCTGCTGTGGTGGCCTCTTGGGGCTGAACTGGGTCATTGCAGGTTCTGTTAGAGAGGAGCTGTAGGCTTGGGCGGGTTTATGTAATAAAAGAGCACATCTTCTACTCATTCCGTTATCTATTTTTTGGGTAGCGTGGAAGAAAAGAAATGCTAGAGTTTTTGAAGGGGTTGAGGGGAGTTTTGTTCATATTAAAGATAGATGGTTACATGTTTTTGGATTTTTGACTTTGGGTCATGACGTTAAAGGATTAGATGATTTTGGGTATGTTATCGACCATTTGATTGACTTGTAAATCTGCATTATATATGCAGGTCGTACTCTCTTGATACCATTGTTAATAATACTTTTACACTCTTTTATTAAAAAAAATAGTGTTAGTTATTCATCATCCTTTGATTCTTGTAGGTATTCTAGATTTGGTTTCTAAGAAAGGTAGTTTTTTATGATTGTTCTCTTGCTTAAATAATTCATGCCCATCGTATTTTATGATATAAGCTTCTTTAGCATAACTTTAACAAATACTTCGAGTTCGAAATGCCCCAGTACCCTTTGTCTCCCTTATGCCCTTCTTATAATTTATAGAGCATCAGAACCTTTTAGGTTCTCTACTTTTGTCCTCTCCATTTTCTTTTAAACTTGGCTTTCAGCATTTATTAGTCTCAGGGTTTCTTTTTGTATTAATATTAAAAAATCTGTTTAATTCTATAGCTTAAGAGTATTTAAGGCCTGTCCCTTCCAACCCTCATGATTTAGCCCGGTGGTTTGCTAATATAAGAAATATTCTTCAACACCCAATTAGACACCTTTTCTTGGTTGGTGGAGACATCCTTGGTAGAGTTGAAGTCATCAAGATCTTATTCTTTCTCCTCTTCCATCCGCTCGCATAACCCACTTTTTCCGGAAAAGACCTCAAGACCATCTTGCCACCTCCCAAAGATGCTAGTGGCTCAACAAGGTTGATATCCATCCCCATATGAGATGTAAAATAAGTAAGCAAGATGACCTTATGATTCCCTTGTCGCTTGTAATGATCATTGAAACACGCGACATGCAAAGCAGAACCCCCTTTGGGAATCACCCACCTTACTAGAGTAGTTGCTAGGTTAGTAATGCCAACAAAAAACTTCCTGGGTGCTGAATGCAAAGCATGCAAGTTTACTTCGGATGCGCCTATCTCAGAGTCTATAATGCTAAGGAACAAAGGGGAAGGCTCTTTGGTGGCTACTGCTTCCCTGGAATAACAGATTGGACATCAATGAAAGCTGGCTTCTGGCAGGTTTATTAGTAGGAACCATTTCCCTTTCTCAGTAGAAGAAATTTTTTTTTTTTGAAATAACTCAGTATAAGAAATTTGGTTTGACAAGGCCCAAAATTGACCTATGCCCAACTCGCTTATTGGTGATAGGGATCTGCTTCCTTTGGATTTTGAACTTTTTCAAAACCCAGTTTAAGAAAGGATCTCTCACCTGTGCCCAATATGCAAATCGTCTCTGCTAATGACCTTGAAGGAGGCATGTCTTGAGACAGAGAGCGCACTTTCATTGCGATCTTGAGATTCTCCTTATAGCACAGACACTGTCAAGCCAGTTTGACACAGAGCTAGATTCCCTTGTCAGTTCTACCTTATTAGAGGTTTCCATCCCACATGAATCCCCATAATAAAGCCTATTGTTCCTAAGCTTGAAGGTGAGAAGGTGTAAACCAAAGATCTCTTGAACGGCCTTCATAAGTCTTCACCATCCATCAATTTAAGAGCCTATTGGAAAATGCATTCTCCTTCTAACAATCCATGCTTCGAAGTGATTACCAGAAATTAGCATTTTTGTTATCTTCCAGGCAACCCAAAGTCTCCTCCCTTTGCTTATAAAGCAAAAGCAGACCCAAGACTTCGGTTCTTTATCTTAGAATTTGGATAAAGAATTGATGAACCACTCAGTCTCATTCTTGACAAGAGAAATGGAAATATGAGACCCCTTGACATATTCTAAGACCCTTAGACAGTCAAGCTCATGACCCTCAAGATTGAAATCAAAAGATTTTCTACGGATAGCCAGACATCTCTGAGGAGAGACTGCTTTGAGAGAAACAAACTTATTGACTGGTCAGGAACCAGTCAGCACGGCGAAAGCAGTTTAGAGATGGAGTGAAACCATTCAAGGGAAATGAGAAGAGAGGAGAGAGAGAGAGAGAGAGAAGAAAGAGAGCTCGAGTCAAGTTTTCAGTTTCATCTTTCATATCTACACATAGATCTCGCTTCCACCCTAGTATGGTGCCATGTTGACACCAGTGGGCACTAAAATTTAAGAGTCTGATCGACACAGTCTTAATTGTTCATTGGCGTTATCATAAGACATCTGTCTGTTGCCCTTATTGTACGGAAGCCTTAGCTTACTTTTTAGGTCTGTCTGTTACCTTTCTTTTTTTATGGAAATTGTACAAGTTATTGATCTTTTTCTTTTGGACCTGCACTGAAATGGTAAAGGGTAAAGTTTGAGCTGGGACAGTTGGTAGAAGGAAATGCCTTGTGAACATTTTGGATTGGGTTTTTGAGAATCTTTGAGCATCTTATGTGTAGTGTTTTTGGTACAATTTTATTTTCTGTATACAGTGGACTTCTGCATAGTGTATCTGCTTGCTTTGGTATTCTTATGGAAAAGCTGCTTCCTTGTTTATTTACCAGATTTATTTAGAAATTTTAACTCTCTTATTAGCCATGACAATCAAATCATTTTTTTAAAAAATAAGACAATCAGATCATCTTTTATTTATTTGAACAGAGTTGCAGCAACAAAAAGTCCTGTCATCTTTATTGGTACTGGAGAACATATGGATGAGTTTGAAGTTTTTGATGTTAAACCATTTGTTAGTCGTCTCCTTGGTGAGTTCTTTTTTCTAGTCTTTCAGCTTCATTTTTTCAGTACGATAGGCTTTAAACTTCATATTACAAATATACTTTTTTAACTAGTGAGATTCATGATTCTCTTTATGGACAATATTACCATTTTAGGAGTAACTATTTTATGATTATGTTTCAACCAGGCATGGGTGACTGGTCTGGGTTTATGGACAAAATTCATGAAGTCGTTCCCATGGATCAACAACCTGAGCTTTTGCAAAAGCTTTCAGAAGGGAGCTTTACATTGAGAATTATGTATGAGCAATTTCAGAACATACTTAAAATGGGTCCAATTGGCCAGGTTGGGAAAACTGCTAGTGACTGCTTTTGGAACATGGCTTTTTATTCTTTTTGTTTCTGTTACTCTCTGTTTGGACGTGCCAATATTTTAGGTCTCTTATTTGCTGGTTTGCGTTGGATGGTATAGCACTGTTGTATGTGTAACTGATCTGTAACTTGTTAACTTCACATATGCGGATAAAAACTTGCATAGATTTTACTGAAATTTCAGTTTTCTTTTACATTTAAGTTTATCATTTATTTCATGGAACTGCCTACTTTTATTATTGGAAAATTGGACTTTTCTCCCCACAGGTTGATTATGATAAAAAGTAACTACTGACATATTGGAGTAAAAGGTTGGTAGTTGTCTGCTTATTTGGTTTCTCAGAAGTGTAATTAATTTAATGACGAGGATAGGGCGGGATATTGTTAAGGAGACAACCAATGGAATACGAATAAATTGACATGCTGAAAAGTGTAACATTCCATTTCAGTAGAAATAATCATGAGATATTAAAATGGGTTATATCTTCCCATCTGCTGTAAAATGAATAGATGTTTTCAGTTATATTTAGTCCTATAGTATTATAGTATTCTGATTAATTATTTAGAAGGATGAACTATGCTTGTGACTGGGTTACTATATGGAACTATTATTTCCAGTTTCAGAAGATTACAAGTATCATATGTGAATGATGCCTGTAATCTTATTTGACTGGACATTTTCATGTTAGCAAGCATGCCAAAATTCAAGCTGCAGCCGGTAATGCTCTTCATGCAAATAGACCTGAGCTAATAGCAACTGAATTCTTGAATACTTTCAACTGTAGGTTTCAATTGTGTGCTTGTTGTAGTATGTGGTTGATCTGAAATTCACCTAATATTCTTTTAGATTAAATAAAAGATTTTATCTCTCAGTTACTTTTATTGGTAGATGAGGTTTGCTATCTTTCTCTCTCTTACTCTCTTCTTCCTCTCTTCTTCATGTTTCTCGGACATCTATTTAACTTTGTGTTTTAGGTATTCAATTGTTTGTTGTCCTGGGCATGGCAAGATAATATCTCCAATGATTTTTGAGCATCAGATTTGAGGTATTTTTCTACTTGTTTGCCACAGGTTTTCGCAATGCTCCCTGGATTTAGTTCTGAATTAATGCCAAAAGGTCGTGAAAATGAAAGCCAGGCAAAGATTAAGCGCTACATGACCATGATGGATTCAATGACCAATGAAGGTATGTCAATGTTACTTTTAAATTATTTTCCTTTAAGCATTCTGGGCATCCTTTCAAAGCTAAATTTCCTAATATCTATTTTGAAGTGGCTGATTATGATTTGCTACCTTACAGAGTTGGATAGTCCAAACCCAAAGCTCATGAATGAGTCACGAATTATGCGGATAGCTAGGGGATCTGGGCGAAAAGTCAGAGAAGTTATGGAAATGCTGGAAGAGTATAAGCGCCTTGCCAAGTTATGGGGAAAAATGAAGGGACTTAAGATTCCCAAGAAAGGTGAAATGAGTGCCTTGTCACGGAATATGAATGCGCAACATATGAGCAAGGTCCTCCCACCACAGATGCTGAAACAGATTGGTGGAATGGGTGGTTTGCAAAACTTGATGAAGCAAATGGGATCGGCAAAAGATATGATGGGTATGTTTGGAGGTGGCGACAAGTAGTCTGCAAACCCAATGCCTCTGGGTTGTTGAGTTGTAAAAACAAAAAGAGAACTCTCAGTTTTCAGTGAGAAAGTGATGAGGAACCATTTAACTGGAAGGGAAAATTTGGATTATCAGAGGTTGAATGTCTTCCCAAATTGTAAACTTAGGTTTACTAATTGTACGAGGAATTTTGTTTAGTTGATTACTTGAATATATTTGTCTATAAGCAAATTCTTTTACATCATGCTTAAATATGTTTTATTTAGATCAAAATTATTATTTCTTAACTTTTTTCTTTGAAACTTTGTTTTGTATAATTGTCATGCCAAGAGGGATCATGCCTGTGTTGTACACATTGGGTAGAATTGTATTACCTGCCGTATTAAAATTTTTTCAGTTTATGTAGTGTGCTAATTTCCTATTTAGTATCTTAAATATAATATAAAGTTTAGACGCTATATAAATATGTGGGTAATATTTTTCTGTTGTTCAAACCGCTTATAAATAAAATTATAGGATATTCTTTCATGCTTGCATGCTTAATCCTTATTGATTATGGTTTTTAGTATGTGATTCCATCTCTTATTATTGTAGATTAGAGTTTTTCTTTTTCGAAATATCTTTTGATCTTTTTTAAATTTTATTTTATTGTGGTACAGATATGACATCGAGAGTTAAATTTTGCTTATGATATAAAATTTGTCAATCCTTCAAAATTTATGAGCCTAATCTAAAATCATTTAAGGTGTCTTTGGTTCATTTCTTGGGTAATTCATTTATAATTTAATCTTATAATTTTCAATTACAATATCTTTTATTTACATGATCCAACTTTGAAATCCTAGACAGAGATAATCTAATTCAAGCTTTTCAAGGCAATGATGTGTTTCCACCATAAAAAGATTCAAGGTGGGATGCCAATAATTCAAATATTATAATTCTGTTCTAATTCAAAGAAAATGCATGCAATAGGTACCGTAGCTATCTTCTAATTGAAAGGAAATTCATGGAATAGGGGGCTATATCTAAGTGTTCATGAGAATTTAGAGGGGGTGTCAATCGAATTTTTCAAATTTAAACAAGCTAAGGTAAGAAAGTAAATATTCAAAAGCAAATTGAAAACAAAAATTAATTTACAAATTTTAATTAAAAACAACATATT